TAATAAAGTGGTTTCCCTCCTTCTTTCTTCTGTTTCTCCGACTTTGAATCCATTTATTTATACCTTGAGAAACAATCAAGTTAAGAATGCTTTCAAAGTTTCACTTAAACGACTTGTATTTATCTCAAGTAAGTAACTTTTAAAAAAATTCAGCTGTAAAGAGAAATGGTCCCACATAATTCCTCCTCAAAATTGTAACCCAATTTATTTTTAACAATGTATATTTTGGCAATATTTATCTTCTGAAATTTTCCTTAAAGTAGCTTCCATGAACTGTGGTCCAGCTTTTCGCTTATATTTATTTTTAAAAAAACAGTATCTGAAAATGATTTGCATCTCACTATGAGAATATGTGAACATATATGGGATGAACTGTTTTTTTTAATGGAATTAACTTCATAATATTAAAAATTATATATAATAAAAGCATTACTGCTATAAGATGAAATTCCTTTCTTTTATTTTTTCACTCACATTTCCCTTTGGGTATCTAAGCACATGAAATAATAGAAACCTTCTGTACAGGCTTTAAAAAGAACAGATAATAGCATACTTTATACCTTGAGGAACAGCCAAGTTAAAAAAGCCTTCACGGACTCAATCAAAAGACTTGCTTTTCTATCAACTAAGTAAAAGAAAAAATCATTTTGAAAAAGTAGATAGATTTGATTTATAAAGCCATTAATTAGAATCCAAAAATCATCAAGGATATTTTAAAAGATGTATTCTCTTAAAATATATATTTAACGTATTTAAAAGAATAAAATATGAATGAACTTGAAAATAAAAGTAATGTCTACTAATTACTCTATTAGCAAATGTCTGACATAAGCTAATCTTTTGGGTCCTTTTTGATATTAACCAGTATTTGTAAGTATGAAATAACATTTTGATCTAGAAATTTCACCTCTATAAATTATTCTGACATCCATGCAAAATATAAGTATATGGAGGCTGTTCATAGAAAGGTTACTAACATTACATATTTAGCTCAAACATTTATTAAATAAAGGATAAATAATCAAATGAATTGCTTTACTAATAGCTGAAAATTAGATGTAACTTAAATGTGTATTACAGTATGTGCTAAATCAACATGTTTTTAAATATATAAAGCATGTTTTGGTATCCAGTTAAAAGATGTAGTTGCAAAGATTTACGTATTTATGAGTAATGGCAATAGTAGTGTATTTGCACAAATCAGAGATTGGAAATATTAAGTATGTAATGTAAGAGGTCTCATATAACTATAAAGTTGTCATTTTGCATATATGAGTAAAATTATCCAATGATATAAAAGACTTTACATTATTTAATAAAGGACTATAATCACATAATAAGGAAAATAAAATATTACAAGTGCTACAATCAAAAATAGTTTTAAAATTAGCTACATAATCTAAATAACACAGTGTCTTCCTTCCCATGTGTCTGGTACTACTATATCATCCTTTTGTCTCCAAGGACACACTTAACCTGAAGCCAATGTTACCTGTTCTTTGCCAAATTTTGTTACTCAGAAAATACATTAATGTCGCTTGAACGTACCCACCAGGGATGCCTTGTATTATCACTTTAAGGCATGCTCAGCAATTTTTGTTCTTAAAAAGAGTTATACTTGACATTGTGAAGCATTTCTTGCTCTCAGGATGTTCTTTAGATTATTGTCTCCTTCAACAGTGTCCAGGTGGAGTGCCTGACATTCCCATCCCTTTCAGTAATTTATGTTTATAATGTGATGGAGATAGAAGAATATACTTCTGGGCTAGTAATCGCACTAAGCCCATTGTGACAATATCTGTCACCTTTCCTAGGCATAACAATTATTGGAAGCATGATTACTGAACCTTCCAGTGATTTTAAAGACATAAATGTTTTTGTAAAAATATCACTTTCACCATTGCAGTCTCAATATTGCTTTGTTTAAACAACCATCACAAATCCTTATTTACTAGCAGATGAGTAAGTATGACAAAGATTGTCTCCTTGTTTGTATATCCCTTTGTAATATCTAGGTCACGTTTACCTCTGAAAAATAAAATGGAATTCCAGGATGATTTATATTTTTCATATGTATCTAAGATATAAAGTGTTGTTTTTCAAAATGAATTTCTCTTGTATTGATAAATGCCATGATTTGGGAAGGTTTTATGAATAATATAAACTCTTTGAATCTAATTTAATTTAAGAATTATCAAGGGAAGCTCTGCCTCTACACTCAACCAAATTGACAATAGTGAAGTATGTTTGTATATTTGTATATAGACATGTATATAGTATGTTTGTATATAGACATATAAGTATGTTTGTATATAGACATATAAGAATAACCCTGTATCTTCACTCCCCAAAAGAATAATATAATGGCTAAGATGGCAGAATTTTATTAGAGATGTTGTGTTATTTTGAAAATTTAACTAAAAGAGAATAAATAGAAATCAGTATCAATCTGTACAATAACGTTTTCAAAAAAATTCTCGGAAACATCAAGTCAATTCTGACTCGTACAACTTTCTGGTAGAGTAGAGTTGGTCTGTGGGTTTCTGAGTCTGTACCTTTTTCAAGGCAGTAACCAGTCTCATCTTCCTCCTCTGAGAAGCTTGGGGTTTCAGTCTGCTGACTTAGTTGTTAACAGCCGACATACAACTCACAACATCACCAAGGCTCATATAACTTTATTATATTGTAAAAAGTTGACTCAATTTCACACATCAACACAAGTAAGAACAACAATAACATCTTGGGCAAAAAAGTCATATTTTGATGATTTACCAATGCAGAAAGATTTAATAATGGAGAAAAGATTTACCATGAGGCACATGTAACTTGAGAAATTTGGATAAAATATCGGAGAAAAGGAGTACAAAAATGAAAACTCTTCTACATCTCAATTTGATAGTCTGTGTTTTAAACGAATATCACACATGGCCTTGTATATTTACTTACCAACTACTCCCACCTCCACGGTTTTTTAGTCAGTAATATGCTAATTTTTATGTTACAGTAGCTAAGGTGCATCATACAAAACAAAAATACCTAAGGAGGGTATGGGGGGAGGGGAGGGGAGGGAGCAGGTACAGTTGGCAATCAAACATAGAAGGCTCGAGTTATTTGACAAAAATCTGATAGTTAATTTTTTCTAAATGAGAGATTAAATTTAATAAGACTATTCTAACTTTCAGATAAATTCTGAGCCTCTCTCTTATCTTAGTAACACTATGAATAGGGAAAATATTAATAGTTCATTCTGCACCTAATTCATTGACGATACAATGAATTAAGTAATGGAATGAAACTGCTTATAAAACAAATGAATTTCGGGCACAAAGGAAACATTTTCTATTCATTAATAGCAGAAAACTTCAAACTTTAAGGTGTTGACACTATATTGGAAACTTTTAAATCCTTAATACTGTAATTAATGGTGGACGTCCGAAAGAGTTATGCCAAGCAGTTTATCACAAACTAAAAGTCTAAGGAATTTGACATATGGATTAAATATCTATTATTTGACAAAAGTGGCAGCAGCAGAAGAAGATATAATCTGTTAAAATGAAAGATCAGACAGGAAAAAGGACATCCATTATTTTGTAAGAGATAAGTGTAAAGCACATAATCTGTAAAGGTAATGCACATAAGGAAAAAATAGTAGATTGCATTGAGTGTAGCAACAATGTTTAGGGTTGTTCCTAAAAATAAACACACAACCTAAAAGCAATCATTTTTATTTTGAACAAAGACGTCAAGCTTTGCTTTAGAGTCTGTGTAGTAAACTCAAGTTTCCTATGACATATTGTTCTTTGTTGGTAGATGTCGTGAGGTGAGATCCAACTCACAAAGTTATATTCCATCAGTTATCTGTTTCAGTTATGTGGGAGAACCTTAAGAAAGGATAGAATAAAACCTCAAAACCTTAAAACAGTGATTTGGAACAAATGTCTCACTGTATTTACTTTTTTAAAGATGTATAAAAATTTCCCTGAATATCACATACAGATTGGCCAGAAGTCAAAGGTCAGTGATGAAAAATGGCACAGTGACAACGTTCATTCTGCTGGGACTGACCGATGACCCTGAGCTGCAGGTTCTGATGTTCATGTTTCTCCTTCTCACCTACATGCTGAGTGTAACCGGGAACCTGACCATCATCACACTCACCTTTGTGGATTCTCACCTGAAAACACCGATGTACTTTTTCTTAAAAAACTTCTCCTTTTTGGAAATCTCCTTCACCTCTGCTTGTATCCCTAGATACTTGTATAGCATAGCAACGGGGGACAAGGTCATTACCTATAATGCCTGTATGATCCAAGGGTTTTTTACCGACCTCTGCGCAGTCACAGAGTTTTTCCTCCTGGCTGCCATGTCCTATGACCGCTACGTGGCCATCTGCAAGCCTTTACATTATGTGACCATCATGAGCGTCAGAGTCTGCAGGATCCTCATTGTCTGTTGCTGGGTAGCTGGTTTGTGTGTAGTAATTCCACCCTTTATCTTGGTTTTTAATTTGGAATTCTGTGACTCTAATATCCTTGACCATTTTGTCTGTGATGCATTTCCCCTTGTGAAAATCGCATGCTCAGATACTTGGATTTTGGAGCAGACAGTTAACATCTGTGCTGTGCTGACCCTAAATCTGACTCTTACTTGTGTCGTTCTGTCATATGGCAGTATCATCAAGACCATATTTAGATTCCCTTCTGTCCAGCAGAGGAAAAAGGCCTTTTCAACCTGTTCTTCCCACATGGTTGTGGTGTCAATCACCTACGGCACCTGCATTTTCATCTATATGAATCCTGCAGCAAAGGAAGAAGTGACTGTTAATAAAGTGGTTTCCCTCCTTCTTTCTTCTGTTTCTCCTACTTTGAATCCATTTATTTATACCTTGAGAAACAATCAAGTTAAGAATGCTTTCAGAGTTTCACTTAAACGATTGGCATTGATCTCAAGTAAGTAACCTCTTTTTAATTTCAAAAGGAAAAAGAAATGGCAGCACACAATTTCTTCTCGAAAATATATAACCTAATTTATTTTTAACAATGTATATTTGGGGAACCATAATGTTCTCCACATTTCTTTGGAGTAGCTTCCATGAACTCTCATCAAGCTTTTCTCTTATCTCTGTTTTTCAAAACAATATTTGAGAATGATTTGCATGTCATTAAGAGATAATGTAAACAAATCTCATGAATTGATTTTTGCGATTGGAACTAATTTCTTAATATCAAAATTTCATTACAATAAAACCACTACTTCAGTAGGACACATATAAGGAAAAACCTTTTTATATTTATTTCATTCAATATATAACTGGTGGATATTGAAACATGTGAAATAAGAGGAACTTTCTGTAAAGACCTTTATAAAGAAAGGTAATAGCCTATTTAAAATGTGAAAAGGATTTTAGAAGGAGAATAAAAGTACTTTCAGTATTGAGAAAATTGTAGATTAAGGAAGCTTGAATTATTACACTCACAAACATGGTAATGCTGAATGAAAATTAATAAAACATTCCTTTGATTCTATGCTGGGTGCATTTAGAAAACTGTAAACTGGAGGTGTTATCAATAAAGATGCAACTAAAAATAGAGCTATAATATGTACATTCATTGACAAATTCTCTTTAGATGACAGAATGGAGCAGAAGAGAGGGTAGTGATGGAGTTGCATTATGGCTCCCAGGAATTTAGGATTCAATCTTAAATTTTGAGTTATAAAGGCACTTCTAAGTATAGAATAGCATAAAGCCAAAACTATCAAATTATTGCTCTTTTAATGAAAATTTGGATTATATCTATGTTCATTTTCACAAAAGTATTCTATTTTTATGTAAAATATAATCCATTTCTTTTCTTCAAGGGGGAAATATTATCAAGTGGATTCAATATATATAACACAAATGAAATGATCGTCCAAATTATCTCATATGAATCTAAATTATGTTATGAAAAATTGAAAGACCACATATGTAATTCATTTTTTGTTAAATTATTCATTCTAATTAACTAACTACAATCCAGAATGCAATGAAATGTGAACATTTTCTCTCCTAGGCACGTTATGCATGTATATGCAAAAATACAACATATTGTGCATTATTTAAAATATCAAAGAAATTCTGCATTTTCATTATTTACAGCAATGTAAACTAAACCAAAAGAGAATAATGTGTTCTCATAAATGTGAAAGAAAGTGGAAGCTGTAACTTATAAAATGTAGAAAATGAAATAAATTGTTAACCAAGGCCAGATCTTTGAAAAGTCCAAAAGCAGAAATAAATATCTTCCTATTATGTGTGAATAAATAAAAAAAGCAGTTCTTCAATGTTTCATGGGAAGTTCTTAGAAATGAAATGGATAAGCAGAAAAAAAGATCAATATAAATATGGGAACTAACATGAAATTATTCCTAATACTTACTTACTGAATTTTTTTACCTGATAGTTTACATTTGACCATGTTGATTGGCAAAAATCTGCTATTCAACTATTAATGATGTGCATCTGACAGTAAGAAACCCTTAGGTGCAAGACAAGGGTAATACTGGCTGTGAGAGTTAAGGTTAGGCATCAACTTGACTGGTCCATGATTCTCAGTAGTTTGGGCAGTTATGTAACACTGTAACTTGTCAGTTTTATAATGATGTCATCTTTTTACCTTTTTACCTTTTGTAATATGATGTGGTCATCTTCCATTTCACATGACACCAACTTTTCTTTAAAGACCTGTTTTTAGAACCTAATGATGTCAATATGTGAGAAGTGGGTGTATTACCTTTAAGTGTTATAGAGTCTTATTTTTTGAAGTTATTTCTCCAAAGAATATCACCTGGTCTCATTGATAACTGAATGGGCAGCATTTTCATTAGTAGTCCATCAATTAATAGCATGTCTTACAGTTGATGGTGCCTTAAACTGATTAATTGTAGCACATTTTTTTTCTTCTGAGGATATTCTTACATATTCATAAACTGAAAAAACGGAATAGGAAACTTGCACAAGTAGGAGAATTTTGCACTGTAGCTGATCAAATAGCAAATATTAAAGGACAATCATTGCATTAGCATAGAAATCAATGACAAAATATTGATATAGTAAGTTATAAAAATTAATTTCCAAGAGAATTAATTATACCTAAAAGGTACATATTAAAATACTAAAAATATTCAAAGTTAATATATAATATAGTTTAAACCAAAGGATGGCAATCACTATTGTTAAATAAGAATGTTAATACTTGTATGTTTATTTTCATGCATATATATGCTCTATATTGTCCATATAATCTTTTACAATTATGAAATTTTATTCACATATATATTCACTAAGCATATAAAATATTAAATAACAAAAAACTCAAATCAAATATCAACTGTTGTCAAGTTGATCTTGAGTCCTAGTCACTCTATTAAAATAGTAGAACTGACACTTTGGGTTTCTGAGGCTGTCCATATTTACTGAAGCAGAGAGACTCAACTCTTTTATGGATTAGCTGGTGTATTTCAACTGTTGACCTTATATTAAATGAAGACACATTTTATTTAAGTTTATCTGTAGCAGAAAATAGTAACTGAATCAGAAAATGAGCCTACCCCTCCAAAAGGTAAAAGCATTAGTCATGTTAACTCATTTATATGTATCGGCTTGGCTATACATATCCAACTATTTAGATAAAATATCTATTTTATAGCTGCTTGGTATATATTGTTTGTATGTACCACACATTATCACTTCACCCATTGACGGCACTTCAGTTGTTTCCGTATTTTTACTATTCCATGTGAATAAAACTATACTGAATACAGGTGTATGTATGCCAGTGTTCATTGCACTCCTTTTATTTAGGTCTCACATGTATACTTAGTGGGATTGCTGGATCATATATGATTTCAATTTCTAGCTTTACAGAAAACACCATAACATTTTCCATAATGTTTGTACTATTTTACATTTACAGTAGCAGAAGAGTTCCATTATCCCTATATCCTACCAACATTTGTTAACTGTTTTTTAAAGTGCCTAAGATTATACTGGTAAACAACAACAACAACAACAAACACACACACATGAGCAATTCAACCCTGTCCTGTAGGGCAATTGAGTCAGCATCAACTCCATGGCAGTGAGCTTTTGAGTGAGATTTTAGGTACGTGAGATGCTATTTCATTGTATTTTATTTGCTACTCTGCAATGATTTTTAGCATCTTTTCACATTTGTATCAGCTCTCTAGATATCCTTTTAATAAAGGTTCTGTTCATTTCTTTTTCTATTTTTGTAATAGGTTGTTATTTGGCTTTTGTTGAAATATTATACACATTTTAGAGATCATACCTTTATAGGGTATGTCATTTGGTGTTTTAATCTTATAATAGAATATTTTAATGAACACAAAATTTTAATTTATCCCTTTTGTTTTCTATTAATTGTGCATTTGTTTTATGTTTGTTTTTCTTTTTTTGCAAAAGAGAAATGTTCTTGCTCTTGTTCTCCAAAATGTCTTGGTAACTGAAAGGGTGATCAGCTCCCACCCTCATTCAGTCAATATGGTTGACAACCGCCCAGTACAGCCCCTACTCTGGCTAAGGTTTGAGTCAAATTCTCATGTGTCATCCACACCTCTTAAATCACATGACTGTACTTCATTAGACCATAACTGTGCCAGACATGTAGTCTAATACCACCAATCCTAGGAAAACAGTAAGTCCTTATTTAGCAAGCAACCTGACTCTTGTTACAATATGTAATTGAAAGAGTTTCCTCCAGTAGCAACAACCTTGACCAAAACCACCTTCTGAATTGGCATAAAACCTATCTCCATATCAGATGCTCTCATTCCAGATACCATTTAAACTGGCAGGAATTCTAAAAAGGAAGTGAGGCCCCTTCCATCTTTTCCCAACTTCTGTGAGCTCCTGGACTTGCAGGGGGCACCTATCATTATTGGGTACCTTGCTCTCTACAGCTTTTCCTCTCTAAATTCAATCATCTCACAATAGTTTCTTATGGTGAACTGTGTTGGCTGTTGTGTCTAGGGCATTATAGTGTTTGTCTTTATATTTAATTGACACTTGTATGTAGGTGTGTTCTTATGATTCACCACTTTGTAGGGATAGTAGAGAATACAAGTATGTTCATACTTCCTCTTTGCTGTTGATGTAGCACAGTAGAGGGTAACAGCTTCAACGAGAAAGCAGGAGAAACAGAAGACAATGCCGGAAGAAATCATGAACCTAACGATGGGCATAGAAGAAGCAGATATCGACCTGCACAAAAATAAATTTTCAAAATGCTGCTTCAAGTCATAAAGTATATGAAGGAAGCAATTCAGAAAAAAGATGAGAGGATAGAGAAGATAAAGGCAATGCACCAAAGGGAAATACAAGAGTTAAGGGATGAAATAACAAAATCCAGTGACAAATTGACAGATCTTGCCAATAGGCTTGAAGAGGCAGAGAAGCACACTGGTGACCTAGAGGATAACCAACAGACCTCAGCAACTGGGAAAAGCAGTCAAATAAGACAATCAAACTAGCTGAAGAAAACTTGAGAGCCATGTCTGATGCTATGAAAAGAAACAATATTTGAATAATTGGACTACCCGAACAAGACACAACAAAGAAATCAACAGCGAAACTCGCAAGGGGATCCTTAAAGGAAAACTTCCCCAACTTAACAACGGAAAATCAGGCAACCATTCAAGAGGCTGAAAGAACAACAGCCAGACTGAATCCCAAGAATAAGTCACCAAGACACATAATTGTCAAATTATCCAACTTTGAGGAAAAGGAGAAGATCATAAAAGCAGCTAGGGAAAATCAGTCACGGATAAAGGTACCCCAAAAAGGGAATGTTCAGACCTATCAGCAGAAAGGATGAAGAAGAGGAGGGAATGGAGTAACATATTCCAAAAATTGAAGGAAAACAACGCAAATCCAAGAAAACTTTGCCAGCCAAGTTA